ACTTTATTCAAGAAAGGAGGGAGGCAGAAAACAGGAAACCATAAGTCATCTGTCATAAGGAAGGTTCTGGAATCCATTATTATCGAGGTTATGGCAGGATGCTTAGAAAATCACAATGTAATCCGATAGAGCCAACACTGCTTTGTGAAAGAGATTCTGGACTGGATTTTACATTTTTTTTTGGCCAAGTGCCTGTTGTGTCAAGCGTTTTAGAGGAGTTTTCATCATGAGGCTGGCAAGTTTCCTCACTGTATCTTATAAAACTCGCCTCATTAAATACCCATCCTGCTCTTAAGGTGAATCTCTTACCTGATCCTGGCATCATCTTACCACACCCCGTTCCCAGAACAACTCACCACTCAGCAGATGTCTGCCAGAAGACCAGCAAACCATGCCATCTTTATGAGGCCCACTGTGCGCCTGGACAATCATTGGCAATCTGGAATTGTTCCTCGCTGGCATTATGATGGCAAAGCAGCCATAAATCCACACCCCTCATGGCCAGCATGGCTGACACTTCCTTGCACAATCCCATTCTCTCACCCTAGTCGCCATTTAACCACCAGGCCAAACGCTTTATCTGTCCTTAGTTACGTTACATTTAAGCACTCTATCTATGTCACTGTTACCCTGACCCCAATGCCCACCTGGAATATGCACAGCTTGCTACTGTCCAGTAGGGGAACATCAGGCACAGGCAAGTAAGCAGACAATTCCAAACAGGAGTTTTTATTTACAGACAGCACAAGTAGTCACAAACAAAACGAGTAGAGGCTGTAGTTCTTCCCAAAATGCTGACATGGGGAGCAAGGACTAATCTACAGTTAATGATGGTCTGCTTTGCTCAGGAACCAGGTGTCTACCAGGTCCTGTTTGGCTAGATGCACCCAACTTGGCTGAGATCTGTCACGTGGAAGGAGAGATTCTTCTGCCTCAATGTCCTCATCCTCCTCAGAGAAAGACTGCTCCCATTCTCCTGATTCCTCAGCACCCAACACGTCACCACCTTGCTTACTCCGATTATGCAGAGCATACTATGCCAGAATGGTGAGGTACATTTTGTCTGGACTACAATGGAGGAAACCCCTCCCCAATACCCCCACCCCCTTAGACTGCTCCAAGTTGCCGAACTGCGTCTTCAGTAGCCTCATTGTGTGCTCTACCACAGCCCTGGGCACAGCCTCCATGCCAACTTGGTGATGCTTGGACTGAGTGACCACCACATTACACAAAAGGGAGAGCCCTGCGCTCCAATCCCTTTCCTTTTCCAGACCCACATTAATCATTCACTTTTTCATTACATTCAGTAGAGCCTATTATGGTGAAGTGAGCTGCTCTTCATCCCAAACCACCTTTGGAGGTTTCACAGACAGGAAGCTTTTGGCCAGCTGTCACCTCATTTTAAGTCATTGCTGCTAATTTCTGTATCATTGAGACAGCAATGTTTGATTCGCAAGCATCAAAGGCATGGTGTAAATCACCTTTGACCCATATGTGAAGCCTAAGCACGTTCACTCTGCAGGCATTCGATAAAATCATTGGAAATGAAATGTAGCTTGAGTTTGCAAACACATGCTTCATGTATCCGCCCCTTTGATGTTGCAGTGTCAAATAGATGTGGATCCTGCACTTTTGCCCATCAAAGTGACACTGACTCAGCCGATCCTGGAACTTGTCCAAGCCACTTCCAGATGCTGTAGCATCGAGAGAAAGGCAAGTGTTGGCAGGGAAGGCGGCTCACGATGGATACCATTATCATCAGACTTCACTGGTTGCCAGGTACACCTTCAGTGCCTCTATGTCCCATTTTTCTACGCATGACCCCAACAGCCCATTTCTACTTATCCTTCCAATGTGGAGAGCCACTATGTTGAGCTTTGCCTGTAATTGTCCTCCCTGCCCAATGAACCATGGCATTACATCTTAAGGATGCCCACCCCGATCCTTTACTCTCTGCCTATAGAGGTCATGGTGGTGGTCCCTGTCAATAGCTCGACTTGAGTTTCTCCCATCACCAGCCTTGTCCCCACCTCTATACATGCCTCTGCCTTCTTCTCCCCAGCCTTGACTCCCCCACTCCTTTTGGCAGTGAGAGACCCACTACTCCGACTGGCTTCCCTTGCACCCTCCTCAGTGATCAATGCACGAGTCCCCAGGACTGTATTCCCCCAGAACTCCAACTGACTTTGATTGAGCAGTCCCTAGATATGACTGAGCAGTCCCTTGATGACTGTATCTGACTGCGAATACACATTCCCCTTTCTGCTTATGATGGCCCTACACAACTGACCATTATCTGGACTCCAGTTGGACATATCCCCTGACCATGCTGTGACCAAGCCCCTGGACTGTGTGCAAGTTGTGGCTATGACTGACAGGACCAGGACCCTTGATTGACAGCATTCCCTTCTCTGCATCCTGGAGAGGACTGAGGACTAAACTCCACCCTCTTTCTAATCTGGCCATTTGGTTCAATGAATATGCAGTGTTCTGCTGCACAGGCAACTGGCACATGCACTTAGCGTTAGATTGACGTCTCTATGTGCTGTAAAGCAATGTGACACCCATGCTAGACAGATCCCTGCTGACAATCAGCCTGTCTGTGCATCTGTGGAGTGGAGAACATCAATACTGACAGCCTTTGGCTCTGGTTGAAGTGCCAACATGCTAACAGGCATGGCATGGCGTGGATGGTGTGAGCATTCGAGGAGGCACTAAATGACTGAGAAATCAGTGAGTGTTAAGGGAACAAGCAAGCAACCCTGAGATGCAACCACGAGCTGGTCACTTGCCCTTGTGTCTAAAGCGTCCTTGAAACTGCATTTCATTGCTAGTTGTTCGCACGCCCTGCAATGTAAGACTGTACTTCCTAAGCAAGTGGATATGAGGTGTTGGCAAATGTCGGATGCCAGTATCTGTGGATGTGGCTGCGTGCAGCTGGTGCACATGGATTGTGCCCTGAGATGCTGTTTGGCAGTGAATGCCTTGGAGGCTGTTTGGGGCCAGCAATGAGCTGAAATCAGCGGGTACCCGCCTTGAATTCTCAATCTCCAATTTGTTCGGTTTGTTTGGTAAGGTAGGAAGCTGAGGCACTTTGTGTCATTAAACACTGTACAATCACCCTTAATGGAGAACTCAGTGCTGCTTAGAGAGGAATTCATGTTGCCACTTGCCAGATACGTAAAAGACACAGTGAGCTGCACCCAGACATTGAGATGAGTCTCATCTGATTTCTTGCAGGATTCTGCCACAAATCACACTCCAGCCTACATCATTCAGGCCCCTATAAGATTCTTCCTATTGTATTTAATTCATCTACTAGAGTTTTTTTGACAAAGTAGCATTCGCAGTACATAGAGGATAGAACATAGAACAGTACAGCACAGTACAGGCCCTACGTACACTCTGTTGTGCTGAACTTTTACCCTAATCCTAAATTATATCTAACCTCCACCCCTACCTTATACTATCATCCATATGCCTATCTAATAGCTGCTTAAATGCCCCTAATGAGGCCGACTCCACTACCCTCTCCGGCAATGCATTCCATGCCCCTACCACTCTGAGTAAAGAACCTACCTCTGACGTCTCCCCTATATCTACCTCCACTCACTTTAAAACTATGCCCCCTCGTAATAGCTACCTCCACCCCAGGAAAAAGTCTCTGGCTGTCCACTCTATCTGTACCTCTGATCATTTTGTACACCTCTATCAAGTCACCTCTCATCCTTCGTTGTTCTATAGATGTAATGAGCTTAAATTTCCAAGAGAAATTTGATAAGGTACCAGATCTAAGGTTAGTACATAAAATAGAAGCACATGGTACAGTGTGCAACATATTAATATGCATGATGGATTTGTTAATTAACAGAAGCTAGAGATATGGGATAAATGGATAATTTGGTTTGGCAGAATGCAATTAGCACGCTGCCATAGGAATTAATATGGGGTCTTTAACTATTGACAATCTATACCGATTGTTTAGATCAGGGGACCAAACATGTGGTAGCCATGTTTATCAATGACATCAAGATAGATAGGAAATTTTGTTGTCAAGAGAAAGTAGAGGGTCCGCAAGGGGATATAGGGAGGTCAAATGAATGACGCAAGGTCTGGCAGGTGGAATATAACCTGGGTAAGTAGAAAGAATAGAAAAACAGCATATTATTTAATGAAGAGGAAATTGCAGAACTTGTGGGTGTAGTACTGAGGGATCTGGATATCCTGATACGTTGGTATGTGGGTACTTGTGATTTGGAAGGCACCTGGGATGTTGTTGATTGTTGCAAGGAGAATAGAAAAGAAGATTACTTCAATGGTACAAGGTGGTATGCAGACCACATCAGGAGTACGGTGTGCAATCTGTATCTCGTTATTTGCAAAAAAATATAATTGCTTTGGAAGCAGTTCTGAAAAGGTCCACTCAACTCATTCCTGGAATGATAGGCTTATCTTATAAGGATTGGTTGAACAGGCCTTAAACCCATTGGAAAAAAATGAGAGGTGATCTTATTGAAACATAATATCCAGAGGGAACTGGAGAGGGTGGATACATGGAGGATGTCTCCTCTTGTGGGAGAGTCTAACACAAGGGGACATAATTATGAATAAGAGATCACCCTTTTAAGGCAGATGAGGACTCTTGTTTTCTCTCTGAAAGACTTGTTAGAGTGTGGAATTCTCTTCCCCAGAAAGAAGTGGAGATTGGATTATTTCATTTATCCAGGCTATGTTACACCAATTTTTGATAGACAAGGAAATCGTGGGTTGTGGTGCGCAGACAGAAATGTGGGGTTGAGAGTCAACGGTCTCCTTAAATGCTGGGGTGCACTGGATGGACCAAATGGACTAGGCTTGACCCTGTGTTCCTACGTAACAGATTGATTCATGTTCCAGCAACATGTTGGGTGTGAGATGGGAACACCGTCCCGGGGGACTTGTTGCATTTGCTCAGGCGCTGTGTCTCACCCTGTCCTTCCACTCTTGCTGTCCTTCCACAGAATTAACAGTGACAACAGACGCCAGCGAGTGAACGATCACCTCTCCAGCACCAGCGAGCAAAGCAGCCCGTCTGCGGGCACATTAGAATCCAGCAAGGAGACACGGTACTGTGCGGTGTGCAGTGATTACGCCTCGGGCTATCACTATGGAGTCTGGTCATGCGAAGGCTGTAAAGCCTTTTTTAAGAGAAGCATTCAAGGTAACGAGCTGGCTATAATCTATCGGTACCTACTTGTCATGGTAACAGAGGAATGAGAAGGACAGCCAGTTTGCTCAATCTTACCTGTGTCATTTTGTAGAAGGTTTGTTTGTGTTGGATAAATCAGGATGTGTTTCCATTATTGTCCAATTGCAGCCATTGCCTTGACAACAGCCATAATCATAGCCACTGATCAGCCATTAGCAAATCCCATTGAGTACTGTTTTCATTATGATGTTACACAGCGGTGTTTGCTTGGCAAATTGATTTCCCCGTGTTTAATCATGGTCTGACTAACGTTCTTTAATGGAGACCTTGGCTTTCAGACTCGATTTCACACGCGAGCCTCACAGAATCCGAATGTTGTGAAGACAAGGATGATTTCTGAAATTGCTGATGCTTTTTGCATTGAGTCGAACTGCGTGGCCCAACAGGCACGGAGTAATTGTTGAACAATCTTCGCAGCAAGTGATTTGTAGTGCAGGAAGGAGTTGTTTCTCAGGAAGGATTGATTGTTTGGTGCTCCCAATTTTTCTTACTCTGTTCACCACATTCTGTGCAAACGTCTGCTGCTCAGGGTGTACTCATGTTCCATTTATAAAGTGCAGAAATTTCTCTCCAGAACTACGTCTAGACCTGTTATTCTGTCACCCCCTGTCCTCACCAAGTTATAGAATCATAGAATCCCTAGTGTGGAAACAAGCCATTCAGTCCAACAGCTCCAAGGAGCATCCCACTCAGGCCCATTCTCCCAACCCTGCATTTCCCATGTCTAACACAACTAACTTAAACATCCCTGGGCACTATGGACGAGTTAGCATGGCCAATTCACCTACTAGCTCCTGCACCAATTTGAAATTCTCATCATATCTGGCCAAAACATTGAATGTTTTCAAGAAGGAGTTTGATCTATTTCTTGGGGCCAAAGGGATCAAAGGATATGGGGAGAAAATGAGAACAGGGACTGAGTTCAACAATCAGCCATGATCATATTGAATGACGGAGCAGGCTCGAAAGCCTGAATAGCCTACTCTAATTTTCTATGTCTATGTATTTGTGTCGATCTGGATCTTTAATCCCTTCATGGCCACTGTGCGCCACATCTTCTTCCCGACCTCTGATCTCACCACATTTCACTCACTCCAGTCTCTTTCTTAAAAAGTAACAACTGTTGTCAGATTGTGAGGAGGTGAAAATTTGTTGTCCATTTCAGGTTGCAATGAAAATAGGAGCAGAAGTAGATCATTCAGCGCTTTGAGCCCACTGTGCCAAATCAGCACCCTGTTCCTGCTTTCAATCCATCCCCTTTAGACGTAAAGTTCGATACAGTTCCTTTCTGGAAAACTAGAGAAGTTGGCACTGAGATTTCTAGTTGGAAACAGTTGCAGCCATCAGAGGGAGAGGTGGAATTCTACAGGCACGGTCTTGTGGAGGTGACTGTCTGGCTGTTGGCTGAAGGGCTGAGAGAGAACCTGCTGTCACCTCTTTTCAGGGTCTAGCTCCTCTCAGGGACCGAAAGGCGGAGACTGCTGCCTGTACGACACCCAACCTAAGGGCCCGTATTGTTGCTGGATCGCAGTACTTAGGCAGACTTCATTGTGAAGGAGGTGGGATGGGGGAGAAATACCGTCCCGCCTGATGACTTGCATCCAGCCAGAGGGCAGGGAGGTCATAGGATTGCAGTCAACATCTGGGATGGCCTGGTGGCTCAGCAGTTAGCACCGCAGGCTCATAGCAGCAGGAACATGGGTTCAATTCCAGTCTCGGGCATCTGTCTGTGTGGAATTTGCACATTCTCCCTGTGTCTGTGTGGGTTTGTTCTGGTTTCCTCCCACAGTCCAAAGACATGTGTCTTAGGTGGATTGGCCATGGGAAATTGTGTAGGCTAGGTGGGTTAGCCATGGGATATACAGGGTTGGAGTTGGTCTGGATCAGATGCTCTTTGCAGGTTGGTGTGGGCTGAATGGCCTGCTTCAATGATCTGAAACATTCATCAGTTAAATCCAACATGAGTAACTCAGCTAAAAAAAATCATCTTTTGCATATTGTAAAAGCTAAGCTTCGCTTCGAGTAACTCAAAAAATCTCTGAAATGAAGATTTTTGTCTTGCTGTAATTAAATGGGACAACAGGCTGTCTGGTCCTCTCCTGCTCCTCCATTTCATAATCAAATTATTTGAATTCAGGCACCATATTATCACTGTCTGATTGCTCTGACAAGTTTAGCTTTTTTTTCTCTCTGTTGACAGGTCACTCTAATGGTGAGTTAATTTCCTTTCTCAGTCTTCCACACTGTAGCATAAATTTTACAGCATTCAATACTGAGTTTCACGGTTGTGATTTTTCTCAATGTGCTCCCACAGCGTACACTGCACCAGCATTTGGGTTTGGGGTAATCCTAATCCTAATCGTAATGCTAAATGCAATAATTATCCTTATTCTGTTGACACATCTTGTTTGAGTCATTGATATTTTTTCACTGTAACACTGTGCAGCTCAGTGAAGTGTCCATAGTTATGACCGAGCACTTGCCTTTCTTTTTGGAATTCACATTGATGAGGCTTCTACAGCAAGCAGCTTCATTCTAGTAGAAATAAAGGAAAATAAAATTGCGGTCTTAAAGTTCTTTGCACCTCACGAAGAATATTCTGGAAATGCAGTCACTGTTGTAACATAGCAGGCAAAGTTCCCAGAAACAGCAATGTGACAATGAGATTGCCTGTTTCTCCTTTTAAGAGATCACTGTGCCCAGGACACAAGGAGAATGCCTTTGCTTTTCCAATAGTGCAATGCGGATTTTCTCTGGCTTCTGGCATCTCCAGGAAGTGGAGTCCCCTTGGTTGAATGAAATCAGCTGATGGATATAGTAACCAGAGGCAAGGCTAAGACATTGCAATCTGACCTGATGCATTTGGATCAATGCCACATTTGGGGTTCTTTATTGTTTGAAACAGGTGCTAGAATGTAGCAGGTAGCAGAGTTAAACCATGCAGTGTAGCTGCATCCGTTGCAAACTCCAACACCAGTGAAGTTACTCATTATAATCCTCCGAGCAATTTCTATACGTTGTGTAAATCTCTACAACAGCGAGACTGGTCCTACCTGATGGACAGTGAAACCATTGGACAGTGATTTTAACATTGGCTGTTGCCCAATGACTCAGTATAAAGAGCGACCAGGATTTGACATAAAAGTACAAGCCTCATGCGGTGCTGAGATGGGCTGATGTTTGTCGATTCCAGCATTTCAGGATTAACTGATGTAACCAGTTTGAGAGGCTGGCAGGGTTGTGGAGGCCATTGTTCCAGTAGGAATTTACTTCACACAATGCTGAAGGAGTAATAAGATTGATTTGTTCATGGCAATGCAGTCACTGTTGTTAGTAGAGATGAGATAGCTTGTCTGACCTTGATGTGGGAGAGAACAGCTTGTGTGCCGGACGAGTTCCTGCCAGGGATAGCCAGCAAAAGTGAAACATGAAGGCACTTAATGAGGCAATTATAACGTTAAAAAAAAAGAAGAGGCCTCAGAAATGCTATTGCTGTACTATGTATAATTTGTGCTGATTTATGATAGTCTTTGAACCGGCCTCCCTTCAAAGAAGTTAACTTATTTGTTTCCAGATTGCGGCTATTTTTGTAGAGTAGTTAAGAAGCTTTTCCTTAAGAAAAGTTTCCCTTCTAGCACTACCTCACATTCAGCCATCACCAACCGCTCCCCATCCCCCCTCAACCCCACCCCACCACATCCATGCTGAACTACACTATCTACATGTCCTGAATCGGCTTGTTTGATTCTGAAATCCTTTTACTTGTCTCTCCCCCGCACCCTTCCCAACCCACAGCCCTGCATAGTCTCACCCCAGCTGCCTCTTCCATCCTGATCCCACTATAGTTCTTCTGACTGGGACCCTCCCTTTTTGCAGCCCCTTCCAATGACGCCAACGCTTTAAGCGGCCCTTAGGAAATACTTTACCCTTCACTACCCCTCTCCCAATCTCCAAACCTTTCTCAGAAGCCACCTTTCCGACCAAACCTGCAGTCAGTTCTCCCACTCCGGCCCTTTATCTGATTCTCCATTCCTTTTGTGTCTTTCTTTCTCATCTTTCTTTGTCTATCTGTCTTGGCAGGCATTCCCCCATAAAAGGCCCGAAATTTCATTCCATATGTCTGTTGAGTGTGCCAATTGAAACACTTTAACTACATTGCAAAATGTCTGTGTTCCAGTTTTAGTCCCAAAATAAACTAACAAACGTAATGAATGATTTGCTTTTGACTGGCACAATGCTTTTTTTTTGAAAACTGGCCTGTTCAAACCCCCACAATCGACACTTCCTCCTCATTAAAACAGCATAAGGACCAAGCCAGAAGGGTTGCACCCTCTGACTGGAGCAGAGCTGAGCAGGCCTGGAGCGGGAGGCACAGAAAGGGCAATTGTGGAGGAGCTTGTAATTAATACTATCTCATATCTACAAGTGTTTCAGGGCTGATTGCTAAGTCTCTGCTCACTCTGCAGGCAATCACGGCAATTAGTTTGAGCAGAGTGACAAGGACAATTAGCAGTTATATAGCCCCTTTATCGGAGTGAGACACTGCACAAGAGCATTATTTGAAGACAAAAATCATCATGGAAGCACATAAAGAGATTTGAGGAAAGGAGCTAGATTTTCAGGAACAATATTTAGAGAGAGAGAGAGACAGACAGACAGAAAGGAGGGGATTCCGGAGTTTAAGGTGTGGTGGATTGAAGGAAATTACACATGTATAAATTAAAGGAAGCACAGAGTTAGAAAATACTTAGAGTTCCTGTAGGGTAGGGAAGAAGATTATAGAGATAACAGAGGGGATTAGACAGCTGAATGTTCCCACTTGCGGCTGAAGTGTGAAGGCAAGTGAGTTCAGTGGCATCTAGTCCAACATAGCTGGGGGTGAATTTTCCCCCATGATCTCTGGGCTTTTAACCTCATTAATGTTGCAAACGTTGGGTGCATTTCTCAGGGAA